CGTCTGGGAGGGTTGAGACCCCCTCCCTTTTATTACGATATACTCCCTAACGATCAGATGGAGCGCAGAAGCAGCCAGAACACATGGCACCGCATGACCCCCAGACCCCCGAACCTGTGCATATCAGATAGAGCGCGTGTCCTCACCCGAGGACAGTCCAGAGGGACAGCACAGAGAGGAAACTTCAGATGGCACGCGCTCAAGAGGAGGCAAGGCGGGGGGAAGGCATGGCGCCGCCTCTCGAGACATCCTCGCAACCGCGGCGCCGCCGCTCGAGACATCCTCACAATCGCGGCGCCGCCGCTCGAGACATCCTCGCAGCCGCGGCGCCGCCGCTCGATGCATCCTCGCAACCGCGGCGCCGCCGCTCGAAACATCTTCGCAATCGCGGAGCCGCCGCTCGGGACATCCTCGCAACCGCGGCGCCGCCGCTCGGGGCATCCTCGCAACCGCGGCGCCGCCGCTCGGGACATCCTCACAACCGGCGTGGATGAAGGCGATGAGGAGGAGGAGGAGGAGGAGGAGGGGGAGAGAGAGGAGAAAGAGGAGGAGGAAGAGGAGGAGGTGGAGGAGGAGGAGGAGGAGGAGGAGGAGGAGGAAAGGAGCGGGCCAGACAGATAGCACACGCCCGGGCCCTCCTGGGCCCCCTTGGGCCCAGGAGAGGCGCCCACAACCGCGGCGCCGCCATTCGACACATCCTCGCAACCGCGGCGCCGCCGCTCGAGACATCCCCACGACCACGGCGCCGCGGCCTCCCCAGGGGCGCGCACCAGGCAGATAGCACACTGCCCTGGGGGGGGAAGGCGGGGGGGCGGGATGGCGCCGCCGCTCGGGGCATCCTCGCAAACGCGGCGCCGCCGCTCGGGGCATCCACGCAACCGCGGCGCCGCCGCTCGAGACATCCTCACGACCGCGGCGCCGCCGCTCGAGACATCCTCACAATCGCGGCGCCGCCGCTCGAGACATCCTCGCAGCCGCGGCGCCGCCGCTCGATACATCCTCGCAACCGCGGCGCCGCCGCTCGAGACATCCCCACAACCGCGGCGCCGCCGTTCGACACATCCTCGCAACCGCGCCCGCCGCTCGGGGCATCCTCGCAACCGCGGCGCCGCGGCCTCCCCAGGGGCGCGCACCAGGCAGATAGCACACTGCCCTGGGGGGGGGGAGGCGGGGGGGCGGGATGGCGCCGCCGCTCGGGGCATCCTCGCAACCGCGGCGCCGCCGCTCGGGGCATCCACGCAACCGCGGCGCCGCCGCTCGAGACATCCTCACGACCGCGGCGCCGCCGCTCGACACATCCTCGCAACTGCGGCGCCGCCGCTCGAGACATCCTCACAACCGCGGCGCCGCCGCTCGAAGTATCCTCGTCCTCCTCATGCTGCTCTCGTGCTCCTCGTGAACATCACCCTCCTCCTCCTCCTCCACCTCCTCCTCCTAAGAAGCCCTCCCCTACCCACGGGCGCACCAGGCAGATAGCACACTGCCCCGGGGGTGGCCGGGGGGGGGCAGCGAGGCCAGGGGGCGTGGCCAGATGAGGTAGGGGAGAGCGGGGTGGGCAGGCTCCCCTTTCCCACGGGCGCACCAGGCAGATAGCACACGCCCAGAGGGGGGGCACACATTCTAAGACAAGTTGGAAGCGGGCCAGACAGATAGCACTGCGAACATGGCGTTTCGCCCAAACACGCGGGCCAGGCAGATAGCACACGCTGCACGGCTCGCTCTTTCGCAAACGCCATGTGACCGTTAGGGAGTATATCTGGAGTATCGGACCATGCGTTCCCCGAATCGGTTCGGAAAGCCTTCGGGGAACACGCGGGCATCTTGAAGGTCACCTTGCCCCACTGGAAGCCATTCTGACCCCTGCGGGCCTTCTTGGAGGACGTCTTGGAGGGCTCTTGGGCCGTCTTGGAGGCCATCTTGAACGTCTTGGAGGCCTCTGCGGTCGTCTTGGGGGCCTCTTGGGACCGTCTTGGGCCTCTTGGGCGATCTTTGGGGGAATTTGGGCCGTCTCGGGCCGTCGGAAAGCAAAAAAAGCACGCGCTACGATCCTTCAAAAACTCATGGGAAATGATTTTGGCCTGTTCGGGCCTTCTTGGAGGCCCTCTTGGAGGCCTCTCCGGCCGTCTTGGGCCAGCTTCGAGCCATCTTCGGCCGTCTTGGTGGGCCCCTGGCCCGTCGGAAACCGTTTGGGTGGCCTCTATGAGACGACTTGGGGCCCTCTTGAAATGCTCCAGGGCCGTCTTGGAGGCCGTCTTGGGCATCTTAAAAGCTTCCTGGGCCGTTGTGGGGGCCTGTCGGGGCCGTCGTGGGGGCCTCTCGGGCCACGATGGGTCATCCCGGAGGCCTCTCGGGCGATATTTGGGAGATCTTTGGGGGCTCTTGGGCCGTATCGAACCGTCGGAAGGCCCAAACGAAGTAAATCAAAATCTGCCAAAAATCAAAATGTGTTTGTGGGCTTGTCTGGCCTTCCTGGAGGCCCTCCTGGAGGCCTCTTGGGCCGTCTTGGGCCAGCTTCGAGCCATCTTCGGCCATCTTGGTGGGCCCCTGGCCCGTCCGACGCCGTCGGAAGCCGTTTGGGGGGCCTTTCTGGACCATTGGGGCCCTCTTGGGGTGCTCCAGGGCCCTCTTAGAGGCCATCTTGGGCGTCTTGGAGGGCTCTTGGGTCGTCTCTGTGCCCCTTGGGGCCGTCTTGGGGGCCTCCTGGGCAGTCCCGAAGCCATCTTGGAGACCTCTCGGGCGCTGCGGGGGCGATCTCGGGGGCCTCTTGGGCCGTCTTGGGCCCTCGGAAAGCCGAGAAGAAGCGAACGCCAACATCCTTCAAAAACGTAAGAAAATGAATGCTTTGGGCCTCTTCGGGCCCTCCTGGGGGACCTCTTGGAGGCCTCCTGGGCCGTCTCCCGTCGGGGCCGCCAGTGGCGACGGACTCCAGCATCCTCTTCAGCAGTCCGCCGAGCCACGCTCAAGCCTGCCGTTGCGGCCCGCCCCAAGGGGCGGTGACTACCGCATTGTAGCCGATGGCGCTGGCATCCGCTTCCTGTCGCCCCAGCCCCTGAGCAGTGCCGGAGCCCGCTGCCTCGGTTCTTTCGTCTGGCCTCGCAGGCGCTGATCCCAGCGACGTGACTGGTGTCGCTGGGCCCCAACGTCCACTCGCAGCAGCTCGCCTGGCGGCGCCAGAGCCTGCTGCCCACGCGCGCGCGTCTCGCACCGCAGGCGTTTGTCCCAGCGCCGTGCCCGCTGACGCAGGCCTCCCGCTTCTCTCGCAACCACCCGCTGCGCCGCGCCGCGGGATGCTGCCACGTCCGCCCGCCTCGCCTCGTGCGCATGGAACCCAGCGCGATAGCCGATGGCTCTGGCCTCCAGCTCCTCTCGTAGCGATTCATGGGGCGGCACGGGAACCCACGGCCCCGGCTCGCCAGTCTCGCATCGCGGGCGCTGATCCCAGGGTTGTAGCACATGGCGCTGTCATTCAACTTCGACGCGCCGCAGCTCGCCGCGCAGCGCCCGAGCTGCGGCCGCGCCTCCGCCCGTCTCGCCTCGCAGGCGGTGGTGGGTCGTGCGGTGCCCCTTACGTTCCTGACGCCCGCCTTCTGCCCCCTTTGTGCGCAAGCGCGGGGGCGAGGCTGGCCGCGACATCGCTGGCGCCAGCGAGACACTCTCCTCGGATCCGCCGCGGCGCGGCGTCGAGGGCGCAGACCCAGGGGCCAGTGTCAGCGCTCAATCGTTGTTCAAATCGGCCGAGCGCCTGAGCCCAAATGGCAACAGACATCGGGCAAAGGAGGAGGATACACATTCGTGTTGGCACGCAGAGCTAAGGTACGTGGTGCCAAATATGTGGTGGAAGCCGTGTTGGACAAGATATGTGGTGCAAGACAGAGCTGGCCCTACACGCTGTGTTTCGCGTTGTGTTCGTTATGTTGTTCGTTTTGGCCTACCTGTTTTCCTAAACCTCCCTCCCAAAACGGAAACAAAGCACAGACGAAATCCACCAAAACAGCGTTAGGCACAACCATGGTGCAAGACCACATCGCCTCAACTTATGCGCTGCAAACTCTGTGGTGCAAAGCATGTAGTGGAAGCTATATCCATAGTCAAAAGCTATATCGCGAAATCTATGAAATGCAGCAAAATGGTTGGCAGAAGCTGCGTGGTGGAAACTACGTGGTGCAAGCCCAGGCTTGCTCGCGGCGTTGGCCTGATGTCCAGCGCTGGGAAGAGAATCTCCCGATCCTGTAATGCACGTCCCCCGGGGGCGCATGGCAGAAATTCATGTTCTGGCGGCTACCCATAATACACACCACCCGACCTGCCCAACCACATAGTGCACGTCCCCGGGGTTTCGCGTGGCAGAGTTTCCTCGTCTGGGGGGTAGAAGTAAACAAACACACAGATGCACCAGGCAGTAGTGGGCATCGTTTATCCGAACCCTATCCCCATCTAGGTGGCCTTTTCTCCACTTGGGGATTTACCCCCCGAGATGGGGATATGGGCCGCCTCCCTCGGGTTTTGGAGGGTATATCTCCCCAAGCCGGGGGCGGCGGGAGGGGGTGGGCTGGTGGGAGGCTTCATGGGGTTGGGGTTAGGTTAACCGATACTGAAGTAGAACCACGTAGTGCACATTCCCCGGCAGCGCGTGGCAGAGATTCCTCTGCTGGGGGGGGGGACGCTCTGCCACCGTGCCCCCTGGCACGCTGGCGGATTGCCGTCGTCGTCAGTGTCGTCGTCCTCGTCGTCGCCGTCGGCCTCCTCCTCCTCCTCCTCCTCCTCCTCCCTCCTCCTCCTCCTCCTCCTCCTCCTCCTCCTCCTCCTCCTCCTCCCTCCTCCTCCTCCTCCTCCTCCCCTCCTCCTCCTCCTCCTCCTCCTCCTCCTCCTCCTCCTCCTCCTCCTCCTCCTCCTCCCCCTCCTCCTCCTCCCCCTCCTCCTCCTCCTCCTCCTCCTCCTCCTCCTCCGACACCGCCCGCCTGCCGCTCCTGCGGAGCCCCAGCCCCCCGGCGGGCCCGCGCCTCGGACCCCCAGGCCCGGAGGCCGCTGGCGCGGAGGCTGCTCTGGGTCAGCAGCGCCCGCAGCGGGCTGACATCCTGCGGCGACAGCGCCTGGCCGACGTCGTCGTCGGCGGCGCCGAAGGCGTCGTCGTCCTCGTCCTCGCCATCGTCGTGGTCGAAGGCGCCGCCGCCGAAGGAATCAATATGTCGAAGGCGCCGTCGTCGCCGTCAGTCTTTGGAGCGTGCTGAGACCTGCCTTCAGGACCCAGGGCCTTCTCCATCAGCTGCGCCTCGTCAAGAGCGCTCCGGGGAGGCCCGGAGGTCGTCCTTTTGGGGACGAGGTAGGGAGGAGGAGGAGGAGGCAGGGAGGAGGCATGGAGCATGGGGAGGAGGAGGCGGAGGAGGAGGAGGAGGAGGAGGCGTAGGAGGGAGGCAGGAGCACGAGGAGGAGGACGAGGAGGAGCAGATCGGTTCTCTGATGCTCGTCCCCATCTTCTTCCTTCTGGCCCGACCTTTTGGCCGACAACCGGCTCGGGCGCATGTGAGGATGGCGGCGCTCGGAGGAGGGCCGGGCCTCCTCCGAGCGGCCCTCCTCCGAGCGCCGTCCTCCGTGGGGCGTCGTGGAGACCCCTCGTCGCCCCCGCTGGGTCCGCCTCGCAGGGCGGGTCGGGGTGGGTCTCGGGAGGGGCCTGGGCACCGATCTCGAGCGCGGATGTGGGCCGTGCAGGAGGGCGGGCCTAGAGCTCCAGAGGTCCGCAGCGCGGAAAAATCATGACGACGGAAAACTGGGATCTGACGGGTTGGCGGATTTTTTGATGTAGCCCAGGAGGGCCCAGAATCGAATCGATAAGTCGGATCGGCGATCGACATACATCGGATCGGCGGAAATCGGCAGCCGAGTCGGGAAAAGTCGAATCGGCGTGCATCGGCAGGCTAATAGGCGTCCATTGAGAAATCGGACCCCAGATCGAAATCCGAAGCCGAATCGAATCGGAATCGGAATCCATCGACATCGAATCGAATCGAATCGAATCGGCGCAGTCGAAATGAGTCCTGGTAGCCTGGCACTTACGGGTGCTTTTGAAATGAACTTCCCGGGGGTCTTCTTTTGTACAGCGACCACTTCCTGGTCAGTGCCCGTTCCCAGCTCATGCCAAGCCATGTCTGCGGACGAGGGCGAGCCAGGGGACGTGTTGAAAGATGACGAGAGGGTCACGAAATCTGAGAGGAACCATGGCCTCAGCCACAACATCTCCCCCCCTGGTTCGTTTCACCCCTAACTCGGCAACCACATGTGAACCCGACCCCGGCAAATTAGATCTAAAAAACGGCTGGGGGGCCGCACTTGAAGGATGTGTGAATAAGCGAACTCCAGCATATTTCTGATAATTACCCCAGCGCCGATGAAGCCCGCAGGCGTAAGGCTCGCGGGTGGCCGCAAGGTCCCCCTCCCGGACGCCCACGTGGCCGCAGGGTCTCCCTTTCGGACGCCCAGACGCCACCCCCCCGACTCCCCCTTGGAGGTGGCCGAGGTGTCTGAAATGGATAGGCCCCGAGAGAATCTGTCAAGAAAGGGGGATGAGGGCAAATCCGTTCAAATCTGTCCTCCGACCCCTCCCAGCTTTTCACCGCGGATCGGTGTTTGACGGTCCCAGGGTCCGAAAATGGCCCCCGAAGGCCGAAAAAGGCAGAAAGCCCTCACGAATTCAAAACCTCGAGCGTCACCCCCCCATTCCTGCTGGCTGGATACACTGCTGGGCCACTTCAGACCCCCAGCCGACTCCCCCCGCCCGGTGCTCCGTTCTCTGTCCGCAGCCGTCTGGCACGTGACGCACACTCCTCCACAGCAATTGCTTTAAGCAATCGCCTCCGCAAGGGGAGTTGGAAGCAGGGCTAGTCATGCAGCTCCCGCCCTGGCCATCTCTTCACCCCCCTCCGGTGGCGACATCCGAGCCCTGCCCCCACCGACCATCGGCCCTCCTGCATCGCTGGTATTGAGGAATGAAAAACAGCCCTACCCTGGGTTACAAGTGCGCGGTCTGTAAACCTCCTGGGAACCCCCAAAGCCTAGAGCCGCCAGGACACGGCACATCACGCAGGGTTTACCCTGTCAAGCCCACAGGAGTTTCAGCGCACAGCGCCTCGTAAACCAGGGTAGGGGCGTTTTTTCTGCCCTTGATGGTAGGCGGGGGGTGGGGTGCGGACTTCGGCACGTGCCCGACGAATGCCAAACCCTACCATCAGGTCGGGCATGTTCCTCTGCAGGGGGAAGGTTCAAAAATAGTTTTAAAAATACCCTGTGACGTACCCAACCCATTTGTATCAATGGAAACGAGGAGTTGGCCGAAACTTGCATGGACAATCAACTTGATGTGTAAACTACTTGGGACACGCGCCTATGGCATGATGCGCAGGAGAACCATACAAGAACGAGGGGCGACAGCTACAGGCTCAAAGAGGACATGGGGAGTCGGGAACGCAGAGCAGAAGAAAAACGTGCGGGAAGCCGAACCATCAGCACGGCAGCAGCAGAGGGAAGGTGACTGCAGGAGGAGAACAAGGACGAAAGCGGCGTCTAATTTGAGTCTGCGGTGGGTACCCACTGTGCTGTGCCCCTCAGCAGCCCTCGAAAGTGGCGACAGTTTCACAGATCGCAGCCCCCCAGGGATGGCGAGGTCTAATTTGAGTCTGCGGTGGGTACCCACTGTGCTGTGCCCCTCAGCAGCCCTCGAAAGTGGCGACAGTTTCACAGATCGCAGCCCCCCAGGGATGGCGAGGTCTAATTTGAGTCTGCGGTGGGTACCCACTGTGCTGTGCCCCTCAGCAGGCCTCGAAAGTGGCGACAGTTTCACAGATCGCAGCCCCCCAGGGATGGCGAGGTCTAATTTGAGTCTGCGGTGGGTACCCACTGTGCTGGGCCCCCCAGCAGGCCTCGAAAGTGGCGACAGTTTCACAGATCGCAGCCCCCCAGGGATGGCGAGGTCTAATTTGAGTCTGCGAAGTTTCCAGATGCCCTCCGACAGGCCCCCCAGGGATGGCGAGGTCTAATTTGAATCTGCGGTGGGTACCCACTGTGCTGGGCCCCCCAGCAGGCCTCGAAAGTGGCGACAGTTTCACAGATCGCAGCCCCCCAGGGATGGCGAGGTCTAATTTGATCCGCGCGTCACTGTGCTGGGCCCCCCAGCAGGCCTCGAAAGTGGCGACAGTTTCACAGATCGCAGCCCCCCAGGGATGGCGAGGTCTAATTTGAGTCCGCGGTGGGTACCCACTGTGCTGGGCCCCCCAGCAGGCCTCGAAAGTGGCGACAGTTTCACAGATCGCAGCCCCCCAGGGATGGCGAGGTCTAATTTGAGTCCGCGGTGGGTACCCACTGTGCTGGGCCCCCCAGCAGGCCTCGAAAGTGGCGACAGTTTCACAGATCGCAGCCCCCCAGGGATGGCGAGGTCAAAGGCAGGGGGGAAGAGAGGGACCGGAGGGAAGGAAGGAAGGTTCGCGCGAGCAGTGCTCTATTCAAAACGAGAACCCAACGCAGGAGGGTTGGGAAATAGACTAGGGACGATTTGTTGACCATTTCTGGCTATGCTTGATCATTTTATTTGTATATCTTCCTTCCCAAATCCGCCTGTAGGAGGACACGCCCGACCTGACCCTACCCCCGCCGCCCATCGAGTTGCCTGAATCGTGGATCGGCGAGGGAAGGGTTCGGATTTCGCCGCCGACCCCTCTTAGGACGACCGAAAAAACACATCGATGCCCATGGGGGGACGGAGGGGGTGTTGTCGGATGGGGGCCCCGCTCGAACGGGAGCCTCCCTCGCGGTCCGACAACCCGCACCCACGCCCATAGCCAGTCCTCCTCCCTCCGATCCCCGTGCGGGTGCGGGTGTGTGCGTGTGTCGTTCATTCGTCACCTTAGACTCTTAGACGACCCACCCAACGACACCCTCTTAGACGACCCTCGCTGGCCCCCATGAGCGTCGAACCTATCCGCATCCGCGCCCTCACGGCCTAAAGCCTGGGGCGCGATCCCACGGACACGCGGGATCGCACGGATACGCTCCGCGCGGGGCATCCGCGAGCAGACGCGCCGCATCCGCGGGGCCCCGGCCCAGGGGACCGGCCCGCGAGGCCGCGGATACAGTCGGGGCGTTGACCTGAGGAACCTTGAGCAAGGAACGAGGCCCCTTGTTTTTGTCCAGAAGCTGAGCTTCGAGTTCCGATGGAAGACCCGAGGAAGACCTGAGGCGAGCTGCAAAACAACCGAGGAACACTGAGCCCCTCCCAAACGAAGAGTTGGAGGCCCAGAAATTGGCACCAACACCAACACAGGGGTTGCCCTCTACATGGGGAAGATGATCCTAGATTTCGGTGTTGGTGGCAATATTTCGGTCACCTTGGAAGCCAGAATATTACCACCATCACCGAGATCGGGATCGTCTTCCCTCGGTGGAGGCACACCGCCGATCTTGGTGTTGGTGTCAATCTCTAGGACTCCGAAAGAGGGTTCCTTCGTCATCGCCCCGACTGCACGGACACGTGTCTTGCGCACGCGGCCCAGCGCGCAGCAGCCCGCGCCGCGAGCGCCTGCGCCGCGAGCGCCTGCGCCGCGGCCGCGCACGGCCTGTCCCAGCCGGTCGCCAGCGCCACCGCCAGCACCCGGGCGGCCCCAGCGCGGGCCGTCGCGCGGGCCGTCGCGCGGGCCATGCCTCTGCGACCCTGAGGGGCAGCGACGGGTTCTCTGATCAGGGGGACGTAAGACCCGGGCACAGTGGACTCGGAAATCCCCGACGAGGTCGTCAAAAAAATGACGAGGCCGAGCCTGCATTTTGACGAGGCCTCCCGCTGCAGACATCCCACGAAACTCCTCCTCGTCAAAATCCGAGGCGCGGTCGTCAAAAAACGATGGCGAACCCGGGTCCTGGCAAACCCAGGTATTACGCTCCCCGATATGAGGCTGGGGTGGGGGGCGGGGGAGCTTCGAGGTTCGCACCTTCAGATTTTCCCACATCTTCGTCGGTTCCCGGCAGGTTTCCAACCTCGGGGGGCCCTCCAGCGGCTGAGCCTCGCCGAGAACGTTCCAGGGGTGCCCGAATCGTCCCGAACGGCCGCTGG